TATATCCAGAGATGATCCATTCTTCTCCGGATGCGAAAAATTTGTCGAAAAATATCCCCTATCCGAAAATTTTCAAACAATTTATTACCGGCGAAATTTCTCGCAGCGTCGCAACACTCGCGCCCTAAAAAAAAAAAGAAAAACAGGAAAGAAAATTCTCCATTAATTCCAGAACTACGTTCCCGAGAAAGAAGAAGTGGCTTTAAAAGAACATCCAGTATCCAGGGAGCGCGATATTTCTCGCGAGGGAAAAAACACGCGACGAAAGGGGTGGAAGGGAGCGAAGAGGGTGATAAAAACGAATGAAAAAGAGGGAGGAGGGAGAAGAAAAAAGCGGTGAGATAGAAAGGGAGTAATGAAAGAACGGAGAAGAGACACGACGAAACACTGCAATTTCCCCCTCCTTTCCTTTTCCTTTTCTTTCCTTTTCCTTCTCGCAAGGGTCTTACGGAGGGAAAACGAAAACGAAAGTCACGCTACACGGTGATTGAAGTACATACAGTCGAGTTATTGGTCCGAGTTTTCGAGTCGGTCGGCGGGAGTGGGTAGCTGAGTGGGGCGTTGAATATGAAAATATGGAGGGGGATACGCGTCTTGTCTTCTTCGTTTCTAACGGGACGTGAAATCAGTAGCGAATGGAAATACACGTGCGGTCCCACAGGTGAGGCTTCCTTTGTCGGAGGAGATGAAAAGTTTTCCCATTGAATATGTTTTATGCCACGCGTTGGTGGCGCGCGGCCATCCACGTATATATCCAGAGAATTGCGGATAAATATGAAAGCGGAGAGAGAGAGAGAGAGAGATACATTCTCAAAGGGGGGAACACGGTGAAGGAATAGCTTTCCTTCCTTTCTTCCCTTTTTTACGCCGATATATTCTGAAAAATGGCGCGCTCGAACTCGAGGGACTTGGGCAGTTGAAAGGGTAGAATGGTAATTAGCTAAATTAGAGGGATCACCTCTAATATACGGTCGATTATTATATATTATATATTATTATATATTCCATAACCCTGTTTCAAATGATTGAAGACATTTCTCGACGGATTCTCGTGCTTCGATCGTTAAAAAAAAAAAAAAGGATCTCGACCGAAGCGCGTCATCTTTAACCCGGAACCTTGTTTTTATCGTGAATTTTATTAGCATCGAACGAGCTAGTAGGATCGCGCGCGATCTCTCTCGAGGTCATTTTGTTCCTTGTGACGATGAAATCGAATGAGAGGAAGAAGAAGAAGAAGAGAGAGAATGCTTGTGGGCCGAGCATCCAAGTTGAAAGAACGAAAAAGGAGGAGGGGAGGAATTAACTGGCAGCAGTAGAATTATTTCAATTCACTGTCGTTTAATTTTCACGTTCGTTATTAATGCATCCCTGACATTCATTCCGCGCATACAAATCGTGTCGTTAAAAAGGAAGGAAGAGGAAAAAGAGGGGAGGATACTTTGCGATATATATATATATATATATATATTTGAATACGCTCCTTTTAACGGTATGATAAATCCCTCTACGAAAGAAAGTTATAGATCTTTTGTATCGTCGTTTTTACCGGGATTGCGCAACATTCATACTTATTATAGCCGGTTCAGCGATCCGCGAGGCGCGAAAATTTAGTGGCTTCTTCGAGTATGATTCAAATACTGCCCGTTTCGTTGCCCGTTCGACCGTTTCACTTTAACGAACTCTCTCCGATTTCTAACGATCGCGAGCGTTAATATAAACGACCGGTTGGCGATATGAATCGAGCCATTTCCCACGTTTCGAGAATTCGAGAAAATTTCGGGGGAAATGGAATTTAGATTTTACGTCTAGGTTTCGATAGGAGGGATAAGATATAATAGTCTCGGGAATAATTTTAGCATAGATCTCTGTTTTCTCTTCCTTCGATCATCATTTTGCTCGCAAACGGTGGAAAATTTAAAATTCCACTATCATTGAATAATAGTTGGATAATAGTCTCGAGGGAAACGACATAAAAGAACAATTTCAATTTTTATAAAACTTATAAAGAGCGGCGTCGAATTAATTAAATAGAATCCCGAGCGACGTTGTTTAATTAACGATAATCCCAGAGAACGAGATATATATATATATATATATATATATATACATGTATATATGGTAGAAATAAATCGAACTAAATAGAACGTCCGTCTATTCGTTTTATCGTGTCGTCCGTGTTGAGAGTCAACCTCCCCCTCCCCTAAAGCGTTGTCCACATTTTACGATACGCGTGTGTATTTATGCGAATGCGAGGAAGGAAGGGGAGAACGTGGCATTGCTAATGCATATGAAAAAGATCGATCGAACAACGCCACCGGCCTGTTTCGGCATCGTATCGAAAAACAATTTGTACAACAACGGAGTTACTCCAACGGAGTACTTTAAAATATTACACCCGGTTTACGGGTGTTTCAACACGTGGGTGTGAGTATTTCTCTCGTCGAAACATCGAAACTTTCGCGCGCCTCGACCAAGCTTTTTTTTTTAAACGTTTTGAAAAAGATCCAACTTTATTAATTAAACGGATGTGCGGATTCGAAGGAGAGCCGATTTTATTTCAATTCGTTTCGAAACGAATTAAATTATCATTGCTTTATCTTAGGCTCCAAACTTTGTACTCGTAGTTTTATTTTATTTCTTTCTTCTTTTTTCTTTTTGATAATTCGAAATAAATTATCATTGATTTCTCTTAGGTTCCAAACTTTGTACTCGTAGTTTTATTTCTTTCTTCTTTTTTTCTTTTTGATAATTCGCTCGAAATAAATTATCATTTATCTTAGGTTCCAAATTTTGTACTCGTAGTTTTATTTCTGAATGATAATTTCTTTCTTCTTTTTTTCTTTTTGATAATTCGAAATAAATTATCATTTATCTTAGATTCCAAATTTTGTACTCGTAGTTTTATTTGTGAATGATAATTTCTTTCTTCTTTTTTTCTTTTTGATAATTCGAAATAAATTATCATTGATTTCTCTTAGGTTCCAAACTTTGAATTCGTAGTTTTATTTCTTTCTTCTTTTTTTCTTTTTGATAATTCGCTCGAAATAAATTATCATTTATCTTAGATTCCAAACTCGTAATACTTTTAATTATTTCTAAATGATAATTTCTTTCTTCTTTTTTTCTTTTTGATAATTCGCTCGAAATAAATTATCATTGCTTTCTCTTAGGTTCCAAACTTTGTACTCGTAGTTTTATTTCTGAATAAAATGATAATTTCTTTCTTCTTTTTTTTTTTTTAATAATTCGCTCGAAATAAATTATCATTTATCTTAGGTTCCAAACTCGTAGTACTTTTAATTATTTCTGAATGATAATTTCGTTCTTGTTTTTTTCTTTTTGATAATTCGAAATTTAGAGAACGAAAACGGGAGAGTTTTCTTAATTTCTAAATGCTTTCAATGAACTGGTATTACGCGGAGTGTACAAGCACGCAATTTAGGATGGTTGTACATGTTCCTAATTTTGGGGGAACCGTTGCCGCAAGTCCTAAAACCCATTACTGATCAGATCTGTTCGAATCCGGTATACACGAGTTTACAATGTGTTGATGAAAATCCGAGATCTAATTAAAATTTCAAATTTCCTGCAACTAGAACAAAATTATCGGACTATTTCATAAACGATATTTCCCTCGCATATTGTAATTTTAATTGATAATCGTGTCGTTGGTATTCCACGAATAACGTATCATCCAGAATACAAAAGTAACGGTTCAAATATTTTTTTTTTTTTTCACCCCCAAAAAGATGATCGTCGTTGGTAATACATTTGTTGTTATTTAATTTTATATCGAAATCGAAAATAATCAAAGTGTAATTATTATTCGCGTACGTGTAAATATAATTGATATTGATCGAAATTATTATTATTACCATTAATAGCATTAATTATCGGGACAACAAAGTTTGATTATAATGCGTTTAAATGAATTGAAATATCACGAAGCATCGTTGGAATCGATAAACACGTAATTTGTGTTCATCGAAATATAAGTATAAACGAATACAGAAAGAAATGGGCGAGGACGAAAAATTTTAATTTCCAAAAAATATTTTCTGAAAATAGATAATACTGTAGTTGTTTATCTTATAAATTCGTTTTAAACGCAAATACGATATTATTTACCTTATAAACTCCGTGTAAATACAATATTTACATTTACATTTGTAAATTTATTCGAAGATAAACACCAAAGATTAAAAATATTTACCGTCTTTTTTTAACGAAACGAACGACTCTAAAATTTCGTACGATAATTACAATATTTATTTTGCGATATAGAAACGATGCTCTCGATGTGCAGCATAAAAGAATATGCAATTGCTCGTATCTTGTACGAGCAAAATTTCTACGAAAAATATTCCATGCATTTAAGTAAAATAAAAATTATTATATTTCTAACTGTGGCCACGCACACAGTAAATGATCGGCATAATAACATAGGAAAAATATAAAACGATCCAAATAAAAAAAAATACGGTATAATAATTCTTTCCTTTCTATTTTCTAATTTAAAATATAACTCGATTATATCTCTCATATCCCATAATATATATATATATATATATATATTCTGGGCACAAATGATGGAGATAAATGGGAAATATCGTCGTAAATTAAATTCTTGGCCATTGTCGTTAACAACATTTGCGAACTCGATTTTGCGAACGTTCGGCGTTGTTGCAATTTTGCAACGATGCCAATTCGCTTATACCTTGTTTTCACACTCACGAAGGCAACAAACTATTCCGGCTAACAATTGGTGCATCGGTCCATCTCATATGCAATTTTACCCAATTACGGTAATCGATGATAATGAACGTTGTCAATGTTACTCGGATGATGTATCGCGTGTTACGTTCATTTACTGGAATAATAATAATAATTCAGCGTAATCGTAATAATTATCATAATCTCGTCTACTTGTTCCTCCTTTATCGAAATACATATATATTTCCTTTCGCTATAAATCGCCTCCCCTTTCTCGAAATTTGCAGATGCGAGGGCGTGGACTCCTTGATGGCGTACGTGCACATAGACAGAAAGAAGGAGAAAATAGATTCGTTCTGCGGCGAGAAACCGGCACGGCCTATCATGAGCAACGGACCACGTCTTTCTTTGGAATTTAACGGCATCACGTCATCCCGCCAGTCCCCAGGCTTCAAAGCTGTATATACCTTCACGGAAAGTGAGTAGTAGAACGATTTCTATTTCCTTTTCTCACGCGTCCATCCACGACAGACGTATTTTATATTAAAACGGTAAACGTCTTGTCCTCCATATATCGACCGTTCGCTTCAGGCCAACTTCACTCGAGACGATTGTTCGCCGAATTTACTTACAATTAATAATTGAAATAATTTTCACGCCCAAAATGAAACTTGTTTTATATTTTAAATTTTAATTTTAAATTGGTATCGGTTTATATATTATTATATTATATATATATATACTATATATTATTATATATTATTATATATATTATATATAATATTTTTAACCATAAAGAGATCGAAGAAAATTAAGGCGAATTCTTACACCGTAAACGGCCCAGGAATTTATTCGCAAATAAAGAAATCGTAAATAAGTATCGTTATCGCAGTTCGATCCAAATGGTCGCCTCTCGAGCGCAAAGGGTTAATATATTATATGTGACAGTTTTGACGTACCGTAGGATAAAATTATCTATGCCAACGATTACGCGTTACATATGTACGCGGTCCATTCAATCTGAATTCTATGATTAATTATCTGTCGCGCCATTACGATTAGCCTTCGAAATCACCGTTCCAGATTCGAATAATGATTATACTTGATATCGAGCGATATCTGAAGAATGATACCTTTTTTTTTTTTTTCTTTTCTTTTAATTTTGAAATATATATATAATACGTAACGCGATTCGATTTTTTAATATCGACCTTCTTCTTTGTCCCATAAGTGGTTATAAAATAAATCCTTTAAATTTACATTCGAGTTTTAACCTTTATTAACTTGCAGAAATTGCTCCACTTTCCGAGAAATGTATTTCAAATCGTTATCCACTCGAAACGTTCGATCCCCTCGTAAATTATTATCGGAATATAAAGTAGTAAGTGCATCTCTCGTACATCTTGTTTGCGTGAATATATTGATCCGTGTTACTGCTAATACATTTATACCAACATTGGGTCAATGGGTGATTTGATTTCTTCCAGCTAGATCATTTTATCCCATTTAACGCGATCTCTTCTTTCTGATTTTAAATTTTACGTTCATATATATATATATATATATAATATACCAATCACGATTCTTCCAACGAATCGAATATATTCAAATCGAGATCGCGCGGCTTTATTCATTTCACCCGCAAAAACGTCACGAAGCTCGTTCATCCGTGCGTCGAATTAAATTTTCAGGATAATCGCAGCGCGAAATAATGTCCTCGTAACGACTCTTATTTGTATTCGTTTCGAGAACAAACGTTTAACGAAATTTCAACGTTTTTGGAGAGGGGGGATATTAAATTCGATCTTAAAACAGGGCAAGATCGCCCAATGTAGAACGATTAAGAATCGTTTCATTAGGAAAAGTGCTTCCTACTTTTTCCAAACGCGTTTAATTTCCAGTAAAATTTTTATCGAGATTTATATCGAGAAGTGGGGGGCGTGTCTCGAACTCTCGTTTCGTTTCTCGAATTTTTCTCTCCCCTCCCTTCAATTTCGCGCATATTTGCTCTTAAAACCAAATTACAACGTTCTATCGCTCTTCGATACACATATTCCCGGATACGAAGAATTCCTACTTCCTCCCTCCTCTCTCTATTATTCAAACTCTCTCCCATTTCTCCCCCTCCTCATTTCTAATTCACCACTTTCCTCCAGAGGAATAAAGGGAACTTCTCCACTTTTACTTATTTTCCACAAATTTCTTCCTCCTTCCTTTATCCTCTCCTTCCTCTTTCCACCCTTCCTTCTTCTTCTTCTTCTTCTTCCCTAGTAACAAATTCGGATATATCAGTCATATATATCGTCATAAATCGGTTCGATGTAAGGATAGACGATACGCATCATTGAGAATAAGTTATCTGGATATTTGGTGTATATATATATATATGTGTGTGTACATACGCGTTCGAGACGGTGCATGACGTACGATCTTATACGTATATGCGTACACACACGCGTGTCTGTTGCATGCACCACGGTGGTCCTTTCTCCTACGCCCCGTCAAAATTTCAATTTCCGTTGAGCATTCTATCTCGTGATGGCAATGTGTCTCTCTTCGTGCGGCCGTTCATCATCCGCAGCCGAGGCTCAGATTGCGCCGTACACATGCCCCCGTCGAACAAATGGAAAGGGCGCGCGAGAAAGGGCGAGATTCGAAAAAAAGAGAAGAGAAGAGAAGAATTATTCCTTGGATTAATTAGAAATTAATTAGAAATTAGAAATTAGGGTTTCGTCGCGTTTTCTTCTTTCTTCGTTTTTATGTTATATCTTCTTCTACAGTTTCCATAGATTCTTCTTTATATCGAGATAAATTACGTAGATAGGTAATTTAGGTAGGTAGATTTTGGATAATCGAATGTATCGATACGTTATCCAATTAGAAATTAGCTTATATGATGCCTCTAGGCTTTTGAACGTTTACAGTCTGTGTGTAGTTTATTACGTTGATTACACTTGTTAATATTGCCGAGTGTGATTTCTGATTTGCAGATATATTAATCCGTTTACGAAAGAAGATTATTTTTCTTTTCTTTTTTCCTTTTTCTTTTCAGGCAAGCAAGTAATTTGAAAAGTATGATATAATCATTCGAAACGTGATATGATATGATATGTAATCGTGTGATACGTATTTATCTATTTCTTCGTAAAATTTCTCATTCTCGTTGTTTCATTGTTATATTGATCGAAGTTTTTCATTTCCTCTTGGCTGCGTATCTTTCGTAATTATCCATCGTCTGGCTTTCACAAGATGCGCCGTGGATTGGTGTAAATTAAAAATGGAGTAGAGATGAAAGGGAAGAAAAAGAAGAGATTTATATTTATATATTATATGTATATAAAAAAAATTTTTAAATATTAAGACGCCATTTTGAACGACAAGTTTTCAAAATCTACGCTAAGATATCTTCTATTTGGAAGGATCTGATATTCAAATTTCTCAAAATGATACTAATTTCCTAGTACTTTTGAATCTTGTATATCGTTAAAAAATATTACACACATTTTTCCGTCAATTTCCCGCCGATATTTTTCATAAACATTGTGCAAAGTGTATAAATTTAAGCGACATTAAATTTTCAAATCCATCGTAAGGATTTGGTGTTGAAATATCTCAAAATGATACTAATTTCCTAGTATTTTTGAATCTTGTATATCATTAAAAAATATTATTCTACTAACAATATTTTTGCGTCAATTTCCCTCGATATTTTTCATAAACATTGTGCAAAGTGTATAAATTTAAGCGACATTAAATTTTCAAATCCATCGTAAGGATTTGGTGTTGAAATTTCTCAAAATGATACTAATTTCCTAGTACTTTTGAATCTTGTATACCGTCGTTAAAAAATATTATTCTACTAAAAATATTTTTTCAATTTTCCCCGATATTTTTCATAAACATTGTTCAAAGCGCAAAGTATAAATTTAAGCGACATTAAATTTTCAAAATCCATCGTAAGGATATTTTGTAAGATTTGTTGAAATTTTTCAACATATTAATTTCCTAATACTTTTGAACCTTGTATACCGTCGTTAAAAAATATTAATCCACTAGCAATATTTTTCCATCAATTTCCCTCGATATTTTTTATAAACATTGTGCAAAGTGTATAAATTTAAGCGACATTAAATTTTCAAAATCCATCGTAAGGATTTGGTGTTGAAATATCTCAAAATGATACTAATTTCCTAGTAGTTTTGAATCTTGTATATCGTTAAAAAATATTACACACATTTTTCCGTCAATTTCCCGCCGATATTTTTCATAAATATTGTGCAAAGTGTATAAATTTAAGCGACAATAAAAATAAAAATACAGGGAAAGAAAAAGCGCGTTCGATGGTTCAATTTCGTTTCCATTTCGTTTTTTCAAAAATATGTATAAATTTAAATTTTCAAAATTCATCGTAAGGATATCTTGGTAGGATCTGGATATTCAAATTTCTTACGAAAACTAATTTCCCCCGCAGTCTTTTGAATATACGCATGTATTCGGTATTAATTTTAACGGACAAATTTACCGTGTTAACCGTGTATAGCAACGCTATCTATATATATATACATATATATATATATATCGCTTGCGCACGTGTGCAAGCGCGTATTGTTGGCCAAGTTCCGGGGAAGTAGACACGGTTCCTATTATCGCGTAATTGAAACCCGAACAAACGGATTTCGAACGGATTCACAATGGCGGAGGGGAAGAGAGTGACGCGGCGGCCAAGTTCTTCGTTTGAGGCTCCCGAGTCAACGTTTCCCTCCTCTCTCTCTCTCTCTCTCTCTCTTCCCCCTCCGCTTCACAGAGAAACGAGCCACGTTAACGATAAAAAGTTTCTCTTTAATTGCTACGGTGGGATATCCTTCTGGGAAACTTCAAAGCTGGATATCGTCCGTGAAAAAGCCGTGGACTCGAGGATCGTTCATAACTGGATTTCCAGCTGGATAGGCCAGCGAACTCGTCGAAGCCATCGCCTAAATACAGCGGCGTTAATCTCGCGGCGTTGCCAAATCCTCGAACAATCTTTCGTCTTTCGGACGGACGTTAGGAAGATGGAAAGATCCCGAACGGGTCGAAAAAAGCGAAACGCTCGAAAATTTCTGATCGAAATATCGTATATCGTTCCCGGTACAACACCGGGTGCGTTTGAAAATCGAAATAAAATTGAAAACCGGTTAAAATTATCCGTGCGCCGGTCCCGACTCAAAGCATCAGTCGTCGCTACTACGAATCAATTTTTCAAACGCGACTCGCTCGCCCCCACCTCCCCTCCCCTCCCTCGAGTTTCCGTAAATTGACGCCGCGCAAGCCAGTGAATTTCCGCTAGCCGGAAATCTGGTCGGGGGATCCAGGGATTTTTGAAAAAACGAAATGGAAACGAAATTGTCCACCGAACGCGCTTTTTCTTCCCCTGTATTTTCATTTTTATTGTTCTCGGTTACCAAGTACAATTCCTAGCAGCGCGAACGGAATTGCTAA